TAATTAAAATCTTTAAGTATTTTAATACATTAGGTGTTATTGTTAAAGTGAATAAACCATGTTAAAATTAAAGTATGTGTTGTTTTTATTTTTATTTGTATGATTATAGACTTCATTTTTAATATTTTAATGAACATAAAATAAGGTTTTATTATTTATAAAGATAATACAAAACATTGCAGCAATTTAACAGTAAAAAAAAATTATAGAGTGTTTATTTTTTCACAAAATAGTTGATTATGTAAAATAAAATTCTAGTTCGTTTTGTTAAACAAATAAATAATAATACAAAATATATCTACCTACCTTTATTCGTTAAATTATGTCAAAATGTACTATTTAATGGAAATAGTACGTTATGATAAAATATGGCCAAAACGTACTATTTCCATTGAATTTTGAGAAAACGAACTAAGTGGTAGAAATAGTATATTTTGCCACGATTCACTTTAAAAAATGATGATTAAATTTACCAAAACTTAAATTTAAATATAAACAAATATCGTAAGTTCAGTTTTTTTCATGCATTTTTTGAATATTTTAGATTTTTACTATGACCTTCTGATAAGCTACTATAGAAAATCAATGTTTCTGGAAAAAGCAAAAAATGGAAATACTACGTTTTGGATTGTCGCCCCTCGATTTGTAAGGTTTCATTAAAATCCATTCATTAGTTTTTACGTGAAAGAGTAACAAAGTCACAGACTTTCGCATTTATAATATTAATATGATATTATTATCTTATTGTTGCGAAAGGGTGAAATTTATAACAAACTACATAATATTATGTGTTGTTTTATAACTGAACTTGCAATTCTAATAATTTTCAAGTAGTTTGGAGTGCACAAAACATATATAAATCATTACCTAGGTACCTAATTATTATTTATGGTTTTTCTTTCCATTTAAAATTTATATTTTATATTCACAGAAAATTAATTTACTTTTATACTTAATAAATATCACTATTTAATATAATATGTTTGAGACTTGAGAGACGTTGTTGAACTTTTAGTGTGCTTATATTATATTATTTGTATGAAATACGGTTCTGGTATATAATTCTTTGGGATTCAATAAGTTCCAGCAAAATATTTTTCTGCTTAAATATACCGTTTTGACGAAATATTTTCGGATATTTTACGTACCTCATACCTAAACTGCAATTAAAGTAATTTGTTTTACAATTAGTGATACGTGCAGTAGCAGGTTCAATTAATGTTTGGCAAAAAATATTGCATTTGAAAATGTCATTGCGTGTCTAATATATAATTGTATACTTGAAAAGTTTCAAGTACCTACCCACGAATAATATTTTTAAATAAAAACTAAAAAACTTAAACTGTCCTTAACATTATCGAATAAACACTAATAAACAGATATTATTTTGTATAATATATAAATGAAATAATTTTGATTGCCTTGTCCACCAATATTGCACATCGTATGATCAAACGCGGCTGTTGCAGAATTTTGATATTTATATTTTTCAACGCTGTAAAAATGCATTGTGTGTCCCTATTCTAAGGCTAACCTAAATTTTGTAGAAGGTATATGTATACCATCTACAATTAATATAATATATGTATTAACTTTTGTAATATAATATTTATACTAAAATAAATAACACAATATTAAATGCACATAATTACAAGGGGTTTTTTATAGGCAATTTGTAAGACATTTTTAAAAATACAAATTTATTCAATAAAAAATATATAAAAGTATTCTGAAAGTAATAAACCCATGGTATCATAGTATTACTGCAACTCCCATATTGTGATAATTGTGTAATGGTAAAATTTTGTTTAAATAGTGCCTTGGATATTTAGTGCATTTCTATAATTTTAATTAATTTATCAACTTGAAAAAGCAGTTATGAAACAAAAATAAGTGTGATCAGTGCCCCTACGATGTGGTTTTATGTTTTTTTAAACATAAGTTTAGAATAAAATATAATATCTACAATATATCAGTTCGTCCAATATATCCGTAGTTAAGATTGTTGTCATTAAGGTAGGATTTATATTTAAATAAATAATAGTATGACAGTTCTGTTAAAAGTAAATTCATCTAGCCAACATTAAAAAAATACAAATATAGGTATCAAAATATAAATACTTGATTTACAAATTAAGCTATTTAATTTGCTTAAACTTCTATACGTAAGCATTATATATTATTCAAGTTATCAAATTATTTTTAAATTACACGTACACTGTACTAAAGTTTATTAAATATCTACTAAATACACTTAGAAACCGGGAATTCATTAAGCTCGCATGGTAGGAATTCCGAACTTCTAAATATTAAAAATTGAAAAATTGAAAAACAGCAACGTTATAATATAATGTTGTTTGTCATTGATTTTTTTTGTTCTATATGTAGGTATTTCCAAGAAGTTTAGTAAGCGAGAAAAAGTACTAATAATAGAAAATAATAAAATATAATCGTATGCTTATAAAGTTTCAAGTACCCATGAATAATATTTTTAAATAAAAACAAAATAACTATAATTTTCCTTAACATTATTGTATAAATACATTGAAAATTGCACAACGTATGGTCGTAGATGGGAGTTTCGGAATATTCGCAATTATATTTTTAAATTCGGAAAAAATACATTGCGTGTCCAGAGCCTTAGGCCAACCTATATAGGATTACAAAATAATTACTACCAATGTGAAGGTTAAAACTTAAAAACCACGTGACATAATCCACAGATATATTGTAAAAGGTTATTTAACGATAAAGGTAATACAAAATATTTTGAACGTATGATTTTCATTTGGGTTTTTTTAATGTTTAAAGGAAATATAATGACAGGAATTTCATCTGTTTTAGAAAAAAAAATTCAGCGCATGAGCGATAACTACACCACATCAGCAAAGACTAAACACATCAGCAGGAAGAAAAATACGCTTTAGTCATATCGAGCAATTGTTGTGGCCTATGTGCTTGTTTTTGGGAGTTTCTAACTATAATATTAATAATTCTTCTACTCGTTATTATTATTATATTCATACCTATAACGCTGAATAACTTAATATAATGCATAAATCTAAAAAAAAAAGTGTGTCACTGCATAATGGATTGTATTAAATTTGAATTCAATTATACCATATCATTGTATACGAAATACGATTCTGTGCGGAGGCGGTTTCTCAGTCTGGGTATTTTTTATTGTTGTTATATTTTATTATAGCCTGTATGTTGAATTAATATTATAAATTACAAAAACTAAAATCGTTATGTTTGTTTTTATTTTTATTCGTTGCTATGATGATTAACAAAGCATAAGTGGTTTTTTGTCATTTAAAAGTTGTTTTTCCCGTGGATTTAAATAACTATTGAGAACATCGAAAAATGACTTCTCTAAAGTACCATCTTGATCCAATTTGCTAAAAGATAAGATGCTATAGGTTAAATCTATGCACTCCTTCTGGTAGAAATTTCGTATACAGGATAAAAAAAAATTAAACACCATTGTAAAACCACTAGACCCCTCAGAATCTAAAATGTGTTAAATGAATTACTATCCTAATTAATAGAAAAATAGAAAATTAATATCAAAATATTTTTAAAAATAATTACAACCACGTAAACTTTATATTTAATTAAAATTTTCAATTTTAAAAAATAAACCCCTGTTCATGAACTTTGAAAATAATAATCAACCCTTTTATTATACACCACAAATTTAAGAATTTTGTTTTTTTTATTACCAATAAACTCTAGCATCCTCGAATTATGAAAGTTAACATTGTATTATAACCCATTGGTCGTTGAAGATTTTACAAAAAAAAGTAGTATTATAGCTAATACTGAATACATACTCCATATTAAATTATCATTTATTTACGACACAACCTTCAGTATTTTGTTCGATGGCAAAGTGAATATTGTTGGTGCATTGGGGAGGTCAAAATTTAAAATTCCTAGTAATTTTCAAAAGATCCAAGAAAAACAAAAAAAAAACTTTAGTTTTTGGTGTAACTTTAAAACAAATGACCGTAGATACATAAAATGTTCACTGGTTGTAAACACTGGTTGTTTATATTAGCATTTTCTATACACTATACAATTTTAAAATAGTTTCATTTATTTTGAACTGTTTAGGAACATTTTCAGTTTCCAATTTTATTTTTATTTTTTTTTCTACGAATGTTAATATAAATATAGTTTTTGAGTAAAAATACTTGAAAATTTAATATTAGGCTCTTACATTATTGTTGCAATGACATTTAAAAAAAATTAAAAATCCATAGTCACGATTTTTTTTTAAAAGCATTTAAATTACAAATCTTGACAAAATACGGAAAAATTACGAAAATTAGCAAATTATTTTGAGTTGAGAATTCATAAAAAATTTTCTCTTTAAATCTAAGATTCGAAAATTTAATACGAGAGTATTCATAAGTTTTTCCACTTTTATCAACAAAAAAAAAAAAATGTCTACAAGCAAATCAAATTAAATTTTTATGAGCGTTTGAATTTCATATTTTTACAATATTGGATATTCACTAGTTTTCTCATGTAGCGATTTTCTTATTTTGTTATGATTCAAATACGAATAATTGTAGGTACATTAAAATTTAACTGAATGTTTATTTTATCAGTTCTTATACTTGATAAAATGTTCAAAATATTTTGAGTTATTTTGAGCTGTTTACGGACAATTTCATATTTCAATTTTTTTATTTTTTTATTCCATGAATATCAATAAAGTATTATTCGTGTAAAAATTTAGTATGTGGCTCCTGATATATTGTTACAATAGCAGTTGAAAAATATTAAAAATACACAGGCACAATTTTTTTTAACTTAGTTAATTTAAATGTTTAATACGCAATTAAAGTTTAAAATTAAAATTACTTATTCTCCTTTATTCACTGTTGTTTGTATTGTTGTATTTAATAACAAACATGTACACTTTTATTATAACTGATATCTAACTCAAAAGTATTTAAAATAAACTAATCATATTAATCATTTGCGCATTATATTTGCTGATTCTGTTTCTGCTTGTATGTTGGTCTTCTGTCTCTCAGTCGAATCGTAACAGGATAACCGTGAACACTTCTCAAAAATAAACCTAATGTTAACTTAATGTCTGTTAATTTGATATCTGAGTGTACGCTAAAATTTCTCAAGAATGTTGACACAACGGCTTTCATCGACAGCATGGCATATTTGTTTCCTGACAATAAAAAATTGAAATACAATAGTATTACCGTAAATATATTGAAGTCTTAAATTATTAAGATTTCACAAAGGATAACTTTACCTATGCAACCTCTTGGACCACCACTAAAAGGAATAAAGCCATATTTATGACGTTTAGCGACATTTTCTGGGCTAAAGTTTTCTGGATTAAAAGACCAAGGATTTGAGTATAAATCAGGACTATGATGTGTGAAAAATGGAGCTATAATACACGTCGTTCCTTTTGGCAGTATGTAATCACTTGAAACTGAAACACAAATAATTTAATATCAATATACTTCGGTAAAATATGCACTAGTAGGTAACTGGTAGTACATTTTAAAATTCACTCACATATTTTAATATCATCTTGAGTTTCCCTGAGCAACAATGCTCCTATTGGATATAATCGAAGGGTTTCCTTTATGACTTGTTCTAAGTACACGAGTTTAGTGGTGTCGTAAATAGTTATCGTTTGGTCACTTTCACCAAATATATCGTAAATTTCATTGTATACTTTATCCTAAATATAAATCAAATGTATTAACAAAATCATTAGGTAGGTAGGTACATATATTGATTTAATTTCTATTTAAATAAAAATTAAATAATTAAATCCGTCTTTGTATACATCTGTATAGTGTATTTAACATTAGAGTTCATTGTAAACATTTAATGTTTTAAAGTGTCACAAGAAACTTCAAGAATATTTGGTATTTCTTTAATATTATTTACTTGGATATCTTGATGTATGCCCATCATCAAAAGAACAAAACATACTGTGATAGCGCTGGTATCAAAACCCTGTAATTATAATTATATATTTAATTCAAAACATTTTTCATATCAAGAATATACAAGATATAGTAGTTAACAGATATTTACTCCGGCCATCATTGTTATAACCTCATCTCTAATATCGGAATCTGTAAGGTTACCACCATCATGGTTGAGTTCGAACAATATGTCCAAAAACAGTTTTGGTTGGTTTTCTAAATAATAACGCATTTTGCTTAGAACTTACTAATTT